GCACGAGTGACGCCGGTGCCACGGGGCGGCAGCGCTCAGCCCCCAGCACTGCTCCGGACTGCATCCCGGGAGCATCCCTGCCTGGGAGCATCCCTGCCTGGGAGCATCCCTGCCTGGGAGCATCCCTGCATCCCGGGAGCATCCCTGCCTGGGAGCATCCCTCTGATCCAGAGCATCCCTGCCTGGGAGCATCCCTGCCTATCCAGAGCATCCCTGCCTGCGGAGCATCCCTCTGATCCAGAGCATCCCTGCCTGGGAGCATCCCTGCCTGCGGAGCATCCCTGCCTGGGAGCATCCCTGCCTGCAGAGCATCCCTCCTATCCGGAGCATCCCTGCCTCCGGAGCATCCCCTAGCCAGGAGCACCCCCAGCCAGCCCCAGAGTGCTGGGAGCACCCTGCTCTGGGAGCTGGGACAGAGCCAGGGCCAGCTTGCAGGTTTTTAGCTGGATTTTATTCCTATAACCCCAGTCACGATTTTGACAGTAGGATTTTCTCAGCATTCCTAATTTTGAGGGATGGCCACAGAAATGCCTCAGTTTTCTCCCTGGCAGGTCCCTTTCTTTGGTGTCAGGATTCTCTGTTGTGCCCCCCCCAAAGCTGTCCTTCTGCTCAGTGTAGCCCTCATTTCCCCTCTGCTTTTCCACCCAGAGTTATCCATCTTTCCTTGCACCCCTGGACGCAGCAGGTCCTCCCACATTTTGGCCGGCAGGGCCAGTTTTTGTGGCTGTCCCCGCGTTCCCCTCTCCCTGCTCCTCCCCAGCTCCCTTGGTTTCCACCCGGGATGATCCAGAGAAGGAGATTCCTCTGTTGGATCGAGCCCGGGCTGAATGGCTGATAAAAAGCAGCGATTCTTGCTGAGGACCGACTTTAACCTTGGCAGGGCTCCGTGTCCGGGAGCAGGGAGGGCACAGCTGGGGCAGGGAAGTTTTCCCGGAGGTTGCCCCGGTGCCCGACTGTTAAAGGCTGCGGAGCTCCTTCTGTGTGAGCGACGAGGGGGCATCGGCAGCGAAAAGGGGGGGTCCGGCCCCTCCCCCACCCCCGGGGGAGATCCTCGAGGCCCCTCCCCCACCCCGAGGGGACCCTCCCCAGCTTTTGGGGGGCCCCTGACCCTCCCCCACCCCTGCGATGACCCTCCCCAGCCCCTCCCCCACCCCAAGGGAGACCCATCCTGCCCCTCCCCCACCCTCCCCAGCCCCTCCCCCACTTTTCCCCCCTGCAGGGGCAGCGATGGTCGAGAAAGGTGGGGGGGCCCCTCCCCCACCCAGGGGCACCGGGGGGAGGGGCCTGGGCGTGTCATTGGGGGTCATTAGAGGGGTCATGGGGGTCAACTGGGGGTCATTTGGGGTCAGAGGGGTCATTTGGGGTCAGAGGGGTCATTTGGGGGAGCCCAGGGGTCATGGGGGTCAACTGGGGGTCATTTGGGGTCAGGGAGGGTCATTGGGGGTCATTTGGGGTCAAGGGTTGTCAGTGCAGAGTCGTGAGGGTCGATAAAGACACAAGGAGTCAGTTGTGTGCAGGAAAGATGTCTCTTTTTCTTATTTTCTCATCTGCTTTTTTATCCCCCTCGCTGGCAGCAAGCAGGGTCCTTATTTTAGGCAAGCAAGCCACAGCCTTTTCATTGGCCGGGTTCCATGGGCGATACATTTGGCAAAGCTCAAGGCCTTATTGCAGTTCCCACATCCTGGGCCTACCAACTTTCCAGCCTGCCTTTGTTTTCTCCCTTAGGGCTGCGTCCTGACTTCCTCCTCCTCAAGGATCCCCCGAAAGCTTCCCCAGTCGATATCTCCATCCTGGGAGCTGACAGACCCACTGCTGACCCCTTCAGCTGCCCAGGGCTGCTCACGGGAAGCAGAGAACAAACCCTGCTGCCTTTTGTTCCTGCACACGCAAGCTTGGCTTCACTTTTGGCTTTAAATAAACTGCCTTAGCCCAACCCACCAGTTGTTTGTTTTCTTCCACCTCACTCTCTCCCCTGTCCTGCTGGGAAGGGGAGTGAGAGCGGCTGGGTGGGCACCTGGTGTCCAGCCAAGCTCACCCCACCCCATCCTTTCTGGTGCCCAAGCTGGGGCCAGATAAAGGCAGTTCTATAGAAGGATTGCATGCTCTAGTAAGAGCAGCTAGGGAATAGCAAGCTCTGGGGTGGGACACGGAGTTTGCTGGCTGCACTGCTTCTCACTAGGTTTTGCTCAGCTTTGGGAACACACCAATCTAAACAAGGGCTCCCTGCTTTGCTTTTACACCAATGGCCTTGTTGTGCTGGGGGAGTTATCTTTTGGGGAGCTTTCTGGAACAAAGGAGAAATACCCCCTTCCCCCTCCCTGGCATTGCTACCAATGGCTTTATAATGATGTCTCCTGCACTCCCTGCTAACCCTTATGGGAGCTGGTTGGTGATATTGCTGTTACTAACTAATACTGTCAGCACAGTGCAGAGTTCTTGGAACCTGGTGTTATCCTGGTGGAGGAGAAAACAAACTTTAGGTGGGGATATATTGGGAGGCACCCGGAGGTGCCCAGTTCCTGGGTGCCAGGGTGTGTGGAAGGACCTGGGCAGGTTTCTAGCACTTTTGACCCCTCCCATGACCTGGGACTTCACACCTGAACAGGTATTGGACCCTGGCAAACTGACCCGTCACCTGATGGAAGGGGCCTTGCCCACCCCAGTCAAAACCAGCAGCTTCTTGCCCTGTCCTGGGGCCTGGCCTGTGCTTATGGAGCCACAGTTATTATAATTATAATTGTTATAATATGTCTTTATAATATTTAGGAAGATTTACTGTTAAGATAGACTAACAAAGGAGAGATAATACTATATTTACATATTATAATAATTATATTTATAGGGCACATCAATAGGTTCTTTCAGTTAGGTGATAATTGTAGAATAGAAGAGAGAAGATTAGTAAGATTTATTGTTACACACAGGATTATTCCAAAACAACCCAAAGATGGCTTAAGTCAATTAACTAGTTTAGTTAGTTAATTAGGCTGGTTAAGTCAGCGTGCCTGTAATAAATGTGGATAGAGCCTTCCTTAATCTTCGTTTGCGAAGCCTAGCCATGATGAGGCTAGTTAAGTACTTAAATAACAAAATTACAATATGTAGTTATAATATTTATAATATTATAATATGTAGTTATATTATTTAGATAGACTATTTTAGATTAACTATGAAGACAGAGCTACATAAGAAAGATAATACTGTATTTACATATAAAAATATGCAAATTATAACATGTACATATATGCATGTATTATACATACTGTATATATTTTTAATGAATATTATGTGTACATATGTGTATATAGTGTTCAAATTACCCTGGTATTACTCTGTTCCCCATTGCTGGCAAAATCCTGGCAAGAATACTCTTGAACAGACTAACACCTGCTAGAGCAGAAGGAATTCTTCCTGAAAGCCAATGTGGTTTCAGAGCCAACAGGGGGACCACAGACATGGGGTTTGTTCTCAGACAACTGCAAGAGAAGTGCAGGGAACAGAACAAAGGTCTCTCTGGAACCTTTGTTGAGCTCACCAAGGCTTTCCATCCTGTGAGCAGGAAAGGTCTGTGGCAGATTTTGGAACATTTACATTGTCCCCCCAAGTTCCTTAAAATGATCATCTCACTCCATGAGGATCAGCACGGCCAAGTCAGATATGGCAATGCACTCTCTGAGCCCTTTCTAATATCCAATGGTGGGAAACAAGGCAGCGTTCTCGCACCAACCCTGTTCACAATCTTTGTCAGCAGGATGCTCCAAAGGGCCACGGCAGACCTCGATGAAGAAGGTGGGATCTACATCCCATATCGTACCCCTGGAAGCCTTTTCAACCTAAGGCGACTGAAGGCCCACACCAAGACCTTAAACCATCTTGTCTGGGAGCTGCTTTACGCTGCCGCCGCCGCCCTCGTGGCTCACACAGTGGCAGCTCTGCAGCGTTTAACATCCTGCTGTGCTGAGGCTGCTGAGCTCTTTGGGCTGGGCGTCAGCTTGAAGAAGACACAAGTTCTCTATCAACCAGCACCTCAGGAAGGTTTCCATCACCCCCACATCACCATTGGCCAATCAGAGCTCAAATCAGTCCAGCAGTTTAATTACCTGGGTACCCTCATCTCCTCGGACGGTGAGATTGACGGAGAGACAGACAACAGGTGAGCAAAGGCATCGAGAGCTTTCGGAAGGCTCCATCAAAGAGTCTGGCGAAATAAACACCTGAAGAAAAGCACCAAGATCAGGGTTTACAGAGCCATAGTGCTGTCTACTCTCTTCTACGGATCTGAATCGTGGGTCATCCACCGCCACCACCTGCGTCTCCTCGAACGCTTCCATCAACGCTGTCTCCGCACAATCCTAAACATCCCCTGGTCAGATGATGGGACCAATCCATCTGTTCTAGAACAGGCAGCAGGCACAAGCATTGAGGCCATGTTGCTGAGAACACAGCTGAGCTGGGCAGGGCACGTCTCCAGGATGAAGGACCAACCACCGCCTCCCGAAGGTCCTGCTTTATGGTGAACTTGCCACCGGCTGCCGCAAGAGAGGAACCCCGAAGAGGAGATACAAGGACTGCCTGAAACAACATCTCAACCCTGGCCATATTGATCACCATAACTGGTCTGCTCTGGCCTCCAATCGGGAGGTCTGGAGACACCCCATCTATAACGCTGCTGATGCCTTTGAGAGCGCACGCAGGATCACCCTTGAGGAGAAAAGACAACAAAAGAATCGTGCCTTGCAGAATTTACCACCTAAGGAGTCTTTCTGCTGTGCCTTTTGCAACCCATCTTGTCTATGTCGTATTGGCCTCTTTAGCCACCAACGCACTTGTAACAAACGTGGGTAGAGCCCTTCCCAAATCTTTGTTGGTGAAGCCCAGCCATGAATAAGAAAGGGTTGTTATTTCTTTTCTTCCACACTTCCTCGATTAAAGCCCCCTTAATTTTTGAATTTACAATTGCTGAGAGAGAGAGAGTTTGGTCCTTCTCATAACTCATCCTCTTTAACAAACATTCCAGTTTCTTCAAACTGAGACAAATCCCTATAGCCTCGCTCTGGGACATGTCACAGAACAAAGGGAGCTCCAAGGAAACGTCCCGAAAGGCGGGAATGGGACTCGGGGAATTGTTGCAGCTGCTCCTCGACGACTCCAGGAGCAGAGGGCCGCGAGCAGAGCTGGATCCTCCTGTGCTGGGCTGCAGAGAACTTCCCAGGAGAAGCTGTGTGGAGGTGGCACAGCCCAGAGCGGGAGAGCTGCAGGCACGGAGCATTCCCTGGGTTTTTGCTCTGTATTCCAAGGCTGGAGCAGGGATCACTGCAGGGAGCAATCCTGAGGCTCCTCCAAGGCTGTCGCTGCTGACCTGCGAGGGACGTGAGGAGGGACAGCTGTGAGTTGTACCTGTGTTTGGATGATGGCAAACATTTCCAACTGGGGGGACATTGGGGGACATTGGGGGGACACTGGGGACATTGGGGACATTGGGGGGACATTGGGAGGACATTCGGGGGGTCAGAGGTCATTTTCAGGGTTCAAAGGTCACCTGCTGGTAGGTGTTGGTGGCAATGATTGGCTGCAGGATGGGGGGTGGGGCCAGCAGGTCCCAGGGGGTGGGAGCCCCCAGAACCTCCTGCTCGAACCTGGGGGGGGAGGGGCACCGGTGACAACCCCCAGTGACACCAGTGACCCTCCCAGTGCTCCCAGTAACACCCCAGTGACCCCCCAGCACCCTCCCAGTGCTCCCAGTAACACTCAGAGCCCTCCCAGTAAGACTCCCCTCATCACGCCCTTTGCCGTGCTCATATGGCCAGGAGGAACCTAAGCTCCGCCCACCCCAACCTATTAGACCCCGCCCCTTGCCATGGGGCGTTGCCATGGGAACCCAAACTCCACCCACTGCCCCAAGTCCCACCCACTATCGCCATTAACCTCCAAGCCCCGCCCACCACTGTCATTAACCTCTAAGCCCCACCCACAATCATTAACACCCCAAAGCCCCTCCCACCTCTAAGCCCCACCCACCAGAGCAATCCCGCCTCAGTTGCCATGGCCATCCTCTCAGGCTCCACCCACCACCCCAAGCCCCTCCCCCGTTGTCATGGCCACCCTCAGGCTCCACCTACCACCCCAAAACCCCTCCCCCGTTGCCATGGCCACCCTCAGGCCTCCCCCGCCCACCACCACCCCCCACCCAGGCCCCGCCCCCGTTGCCATGGACACCCCAAGCCCCGCCCCCGTTCCCATGGCACTCCTCCCCTCCCCGCAGCCCCCGGCTCCGCCCTCGTTGCCATGGTCACAAAGCCCCGCCCCTTCCCCCCGCTCCTCACAGCGCCATCTCGGCCTCCATCTCCTTCAGCCGCTCCTCGCCGCTCTTCGCCGC